GTGTGATAATCATGTGAGATGGGTGTGATAATCACCGTTATACATCACTTGGGTTATCGTTTTGGTTGATAAGCTAAATTTTTCAGTGTAATCATGTGATATGGGTGTGATAATCACTGTTATACATCACTTGGGTTATCGTTTTAGTTGATAAGTTAAATTTTTGGTGTGATAATTATGTGATATGGGTGTGATAATCATGTGATTATCACACAATTATCACACTATCGCTTATATCACACGATTTGGTGTGATATGGGTGTGATAATCATGTGATTATCATACAATTATCACATTATCGTTTATATCAACATGATTTGGTGTGATTTGGGTGTGATAATCATGTGATTATCACACAATTATCACATTATCGCTTATATCAACACGATTTGGTGTGATTTGGGTGTGATAATCATGTGATTATCACACAATTATCACAAGGATTCCGTTCGGCTATGGTTAACTTAAAAAATCGACTACCGATTTGGTGTGATATGTGTGTGATTTGGAGACGCATGAATGAAGGAGAAGAAGACGTGATCAATGAAGGAGAAGAAGACGTGGAAACGTGAAGATAAACATGTTTAGTTAAAATAAAATAAAAATTATAAAAATTACTTAATTACATTACTGCCTTTATTAAAGTATTTATATATAATAAAAGTTAATTTATTTATTAAAAAAGTTTGTGGTTATTGAGTTGTTCTCGCGTTTTCGTAAATCACAGGGGTTCTCGTTTGAACCTCTATATATATATATATATATATATATTGTTCTGAATAATGTAGAACAAACTAAATTCATATAAAACTAAAAAAAAAAAAGAATCAATGATATCAAATATATAGAGCTTATAAAAATAATATCAAGGTGTAAAATCAGCATTAAATCTCTTGAATCTCAACCCACTACTTTCTTCAATTTTCAAAGAATTCGTGTTCGACTCTTCGTGTATGGGAATGAGAGTAAGGAACCTATTTAAGGTTTTAGTTGTTAAGTTTCTTTTTTATCTTTATTTAAGTCTTAGGTCTCGTACATAATTAACATTTATTCTTTAAGTTATATATTAAAAAAAAAACTCACACTTACAAAATAACGCATTGTAACGCGTGATAACACATCGTAATGTGTCATAGCACGTTACAATGCAAGTCAAGCATTAGAATGAAACCACAAGAATTAACGTAGCAGTGAAGCCAAGTCTTGACACCATAGCATGCTATAACGAGACCATACCAAATTATTTAGAACTGTTTTTAAAATACAAGATTTTTTCTAATAATCCGTTGACATATTATGTATAAAATCATAGTATTGTAAGCGTGATTTTGATTTTTATAAAGGACCAAACGTATGCCCATAAATTTCTTTGGTTCGTATGTCTCAAAACGCCTTGTTTTTTTTTTATTAACCTAGATATCCAACCCGATATGCGAGCCGACTAATCCCAGGACGACCACCTGCTTTGTAGATAGCCCGGAGTCACTGCATTTGAACTTCCGTGGCCACAAGGGGATTTTGACCTTTGGAGCCAAGCTCAAACCAATCAGGCACCACCCTTGTGGTTAATGTCTTGCTTTCTTATCGTATATAGGAACATATCTAATGTATTGCCACCTTACATCACCTAATTAACTCTCGATATCGAGCATCATGTAAGGTAACCAAAATAAGAACTCGAATACAATGCACGATTTCCCATATGGGTCTTGTTGAGGCTAACGATCCAATAACTGAAATATAACGTATTCAACGTTTAAAAAAACACATCATGTGTTAAATTACACCACTCATTGCCGGTTGCCAATGAGTTAAAATATCATATTCTAATATTTCTCATAGACTACGAAGCTTGTTTTTATCTCAAATACATTGAGATTTACCAGTACATAATCTAAACTGAAACAAAAAAGTGTAAGTTATATGATGGGTATGGGCGCGTTGAACTGAAAGGATCGAATAAGCTCAGTATCCGGCAAATTTAGAGCCGGGAGAGAAAAATGACTCTGAGTCGAGCTCCCTTTTCTAATCTCTTTCATCGTCATCAATGCTGCAACCGTGTTTCTGAAAATCCCTTCTCCTGCCATCGTGATCGTTGACTCTTTCATCTCCTCCGCCACCACCACCGTCGGAAAAAGCTCGTCAATCGTGGCTTCACATTCTTTCACAAGCTTCGAAATGAGCTCCGTGGTGAAGAAAGGTTGCTCCAACACCTTTTGTATGAACGGTAAACGCAATAATCCTCCTGTTCGTTTGTCGTATTTCTTAAGAATCTTTGCCATTCCTGTATCATATTTATAAAACTAATCAATTCGTTTACACCATTTTTCTTCACTTTTTTTATGCGGGTTTTTCAGTAAATACGTTCGCGGTATCATATAAACGAAACCCACAAAATAAAAAATAAAAAAGACTCATAAAAATTGGATCTTTTAACTTCAAGATTTTGATTGGACAATAATGGTCAAAAGGTTGACTTTTCTTTGTTGATTTACCAGTGTAATTGATGTTGCTATAGTTGACTAAAAGAACCATTTCACCATGAAAGTCAACTATGTCTTTTCTAATTCTTGACATCTCTTCTTCATACTCTCCTTCTGATGATGCTTCACCCTCCTTCACCTTCTTTATTCTTTGTTGCAACTCCTGCAAATTTCAAAGAATTCAAGTAAAACCGAAAAAGACTGCGTTTCGTTGACCAAGTCAACTCAACCGTAAAAAAAAAACCCTAATTAGATTGCTCTCCAAAAGAGTCTTTATAGAAAGAAGGCCGATACATGTGACAATATGCGAAACCCCATTAAATTACTCTCGAAAAAAGATCAGTAAAGATTGAAGGGAGGTTCCAACATATATAGAGGATAAAATGGTTTAGGTCTAACTGATATGAGGCCGTATTTTAAAAAATAAGTAACGGGTAGAATCTTTAACGAACGGCTTCGGGATGTGACGAGAGATTGTAAGTGACGGGATGATTTTGATATAACATACAGGACAAAACAGTTATCAACAAAACGAAACTGATCCTGTTGTTATTATCCAAGACAAAATACCATAATTGTCTTAGGAGTTCTTCCAAACCCATATAATATGTTATATATGGCTCGAGATTTACCAAATTATTATTAGACTTCTTTTTTAAGTACACAATATTTTATATACAGCAAAACTAACAGCCAATACTGTTAACCTCCATGGATATTGCGTTTTACTGATAAATCAAGTATTGCTAAGTCAAGAACCTTTCAGTATCTTTAGAGTTCAGGCTTTCTGATAAATAAGCAAATTCATTGTGGGGTGTTTAATTCTTTATACATATTTATGTTTAATTAAACATTCTTTATTATGGTTGGTTTGCAGATCTTGTCTTATCAGATTATTATAATATTACATAATCAGTAGTACAATACAATATCTATGTCGACACTTAACATAAAAGTTAACCGAGAAAGCAGAAAAAATAAAACAAAAAACATCCCAATAGGAATAAAAACAAAAAACTCCCGAATACATGCAAGATCATGATAAGAAACAAATCGAGACTAAAAACTGACCTTGTGACGAATAACGAAATCCTCTTCTTGTTCCATGAAAAACAAGTTAAACTTATCGATCTCATTGTCCAAAAGATACACAAAAGCCGCCTTTGATTTCCCGTACCCCGATATGAGCTTCACAAGCTTCTTTAAATCTTTGTAGTTCAAATACATATCCCGCCACCCGGGCAACGTTTCTTGAACGTGTTGCTTCAGTCGCTTGCCGAACTTCATCTTTTTTCGGGGTTTCTTGATCAAGATCTAAAAAACCCACATCCCAAAATCAAGATTTGTAATGAAAAAAGATGAAAATTTGTGGGATTTTATTAGCAAGAAAAGAAAAGGGTTAGAATATTTAGAGAGCATATGCTTGGCGTGAATGAAGTGGCAGTTAGAAAAAAAAAAGGTATGAATTGGGTCTTTGATGCAAGAGAATTATTGGCATATTCCATTTCTAATACTCATGCTTTGGACCAACACCAACACCAAGTAATATCACTTTTTAGTTAATAAAATAATATGTATCGATAAACACTGATATTATCTTATTTTTAATTAGAACTGTTTGGCAGTTGTCTTTACTGTGATACGTTGAGAGAAAATCAAGAATATGTTGCCTCGGATTCTTGATTTAGTAGCCGTAATTTGATTCAAAACAAATTTTTTTTACCCATTAGAGGTAGAAGTATAGTTTAATACATCATATCTTTCCTTAACTGGCTGACCGTACCTTCAGATGAGATATACAAAGTATGTTTTTTATATCTTGTGAGGTTAGCTCAACTGGCAATAAGGTCTGGGTGTTTAGAGATTTTCCTTAGAGGGTACCGGTTCGACTCCGGACTGTTCTCCAGACCTTGGGATTAGTCAAGGTGAATACAAGCGGGTCCGGACACTCACGGACAGATTGAGGGTAAGAGTGACGCATGGAATAGATGACAGGCGGATCATGGAGGTGGGTGATGTACACGTGGCATGACTGTGAGTGTTTTAAGGTGGGTTGTTGCTGTCGCTGTAACTTTACGCATGGGAGAATTGGGATTTATGGAAAGGGATAATTCCTACGAATCTCCGAAAGAATCTCCAATAAAAAAGGAAAATAAATCAGAAAATGGGACGTGGGAAACTGTTCAAATATGAACCAAACCAAACGAATATTATATTTATTTCTTAAGTTGTCTTTTCGCTTTTTTCCATTTATGTAAAATTCATAATTTATTTAGGGTCGTTTATCAAACGCTTACTCGAGTAAATGAACACCAAGTCATATTACTTTACCGGATGAATATAGTAATGATTAAGAATCTTACCCGGCATGAGCGAAACAAGAACCAAGAGTCTTACCCGGTAAGTGAGGACAACGACTCTTAACACGGTAAGCGTTTACAGGGTAAATTGTTGCATACGATACCGTTTTGGTGGAATAAAATCTTATCTAGTGAGTGAATAATAGTGTTAAATTTTACTAGTACACGTTTAGCAGGTAAGTATTTGGTAAACAGCCCCTTAAATTTGTCTATTAACCGTTCTTATTCAGATTTAACCAAATGTCAATACATCTGTAATACCCATTGCCGACTGTCTAAAAGACAAAAAAATGTAAAATTCAACCATTTTACCATCGCAATTGCAGATCTGACCGAGATTAATTTTCAAGGATAGACATAAAATCAAGTAATCATCCATCTTACTACGATAATTTCTAAAGTCATAATAATCGTCAAAACGCAGATCCAAACACCCTTCGATTCCTTAAATCATCATATCCATCCTCTTTTATTTGTATTGTTTTCCAAAAATTTCCAACATACACTCTAGATATCGGTCCTATATGATGCTATATCGACTTAAAATAAGCTTCGTGTAGCACGTTATGGCAAGTCCATGAACCCGCAAAAGAGAAGCCATATAAACCTTGAAGACCAACTCAACTGATAAATAAATGTCAGGTCTCAGGGCTCCTCAATGCCACTGGAGATTTACCTGGCTGTTATCTTCAGTGACCCATGAGATTAGTCAAGGTGCACACAAGCTGGACCGGACACCTATAATTCCCAAAAAAGAGGAAATATAAGCTATATAAGATCTTTGTGCATAGGATAGGATATGAGGATATAATATCTTTGTTCTTACCTTTTTGCTTACGCTTTACAAAAACAACAGCTCTACTCGTTGGAGGACTGGTCTGCGTACATCTTAACCAGCAGACGTTGCCTTTGAATGAGATGTACCGGGTTTGTTTTGTTTGGCGAAGGAATGGATATCGATCTTGTACACCGCCAGAAGGAACCAAGGCCATAATACCTGCTTACATTGCCATATTTACGCTATAATACCTGATAATTGTTTTCTTTATCGTAAGGGCACACGAATTCAAGAATAGGTTCGATTACTAGAAGAAGAAAAAAAATCAATTGCTTACATTGGCATATTTACGCCGACCTTGAAGACGAGAAATAAATGGAAAGGTCCACAAGGGTCAGCTCAAAGTCGGGCTTTTAGACTCCTTCCCATAAATCGCCACATAACGACTGGCGATTTTCCTGGCTGTTATCTTCAGGACCATTGAATTAGTCGAGGTGCATGCAAGCTTACCCTGACAACCGTACGCTTCCATATATATACACATATGTATATGAAGGTTCTTTGTATAATGACAACATCTACGAAGGGGCGATACTTGGGATAATTAGCGGCAGTAGCTTCAACGATGAAGATCCGGTGCTGGAATCACGGTTATCAGGAAGGGAAGCAAGCTGATCTTCTAAAGTAGAATAAGCATCTGCAAATGCCTTTATGCATTGATGGATCCTAAAGCAATTCCTGCCCACATTATTTGCAGGAAACAAAGGATCATCGATATAAATTGGATCTATACTGTACCCTCGTTCCCGATTTATATAAACCCCACTTCCCTGAACGGAAATACGCATCTGGCGTGGATCAAACACGTTCCCGAAAAAGTAAAAGAAATCCATAAGAAGACCCCCGAAATTCTGGTTAATCGGCCGGCCATAATGGTGCTCATGTTGAAGAAAGCGGGTGATCAACAGAATCAGACAATAAGAACTCAGGCCACCGGAATAAGATTGATCCAGGCTCCGATCGGCCAGAAACTGTTTTAGCACCAAGGCAAGAGGGGTTGCTGCCGGAAATTGTTCCGTGAGCTCTTTGACCAGTTCGGTAGTTTGTAATCCGGTGTGTGATGGTGCTTTAAAGCTAATGTCAATCCGAATTGACTGCACATCTGTGTCTTTCCCACCATCGGTACTCATCTTCGAAGTGGAAATTTCTTGGTCAACAGAAGTCAAAGGAGGGCGTCTCAGCAACGGTACATTTGAAACGGAAGAAACAATGAGATCGGAAGGAACTTCAACCACGAGCATGATGATGGGTATAGCAGTATTCTCAACGATTTTTAAGGAATCGTTTTTTACCCATTCTTGATTAACGAGATATCTAGCAGCATGTTGAAGACATGTTTCTTTGATTCCATTCCGACCCTCCAAGATTCCGGCTTCTTTTATCGGTTCTAAGTTTCTAACCGGAGGAAGGCAAACGACAAGATCGACATCACTTGTTGGAAGGGATAAACCGGTTGCGTTAGAACCGAAGATGTTGGTTCGAGAACGTGGCCATAAGACTTGAAGCGAACGTGTAACGCGTTTGACCGCCCAGTTGATATACGGCTTTCTAGTCATGTTTACTCCAGCGACCCGCTTGCAGAATGCGTCCATTTCATCGTTCAGGAGGCTGTGCATCACAGGAAGAGACGCCTTTCGCACAGAACAATCGAGTAATTCCGGCGATTGAAGCGGAATCGCCAAATCAGGATGTTCTTGATCGCGAGTTAGCTGCGAGATCGCAATGAGTCGATCCTGCAAAATGGCCCCCGGTAAAGTCTGAGTCAATTGCCGAGCCGAAAGACTTTTCTTTCTCCACGAAGGCCAAACGACTTCACTTCCATCGACTCTAACACAACATTCCTCAAAACTAATTCCGTCATGAAACCAACCTTTCACCCCCCAATGACGTGGGCTCGAGCTACCAGATCGAACGGTCGGAAAGCCTCGGTGTTTCCGGGCATCCCCCACAGGGGAGGGCCGTGGAACACAAAGTACAACCGGCGAAGGTGGTCTCTTAATCGGAGGTTCTTCTCGCCTGCTAGGAGGCACACACGGACTTTTATGCTCGTGATTCCGCTTAAACTCCCGTGATCTATCCCGCGATATGTTTGGAATGATAATAGGTCGTAAAATAGGATACGGGAATAAATCTCCAGTTTTTGCCTCAATATCTCCAGGAAAAGTGGCCAAAGAACCAGAAACATTCTCCTCAGATAAATCCGTCATCGTTGATGAAGAATGCAGCACTTTTCCAGTTACCTCACCAGGTATAACATAGCCAAGAGGTTCAAAAGGCGAGCAGAAGGACGAAGCAGACGGTGAAGTCAAACCGTTAGTACTATACGACGATGAAAACGCAACCATATCGTCAACGGTCCGGTTCATATCTGCTTCCCGCCAAGCCCACGAACTATCATCTGAACTAAGAGAAGGTGGCCTGGAAAAACTAGCCACCGGGTGATCAGATGAATCCCAATACATCACACCACCGCCAAAGTACTGACTATAATCCATCCCGGAAACCGCAAAATCTTCTTCACCTAACCAGTGACCATCGTGTTCCTCCACCATTTCCGACGAATTGGCTATGTGAGAAGAGTCCACAAATTCACCAGCACTAAAACTTTGCTTAAAGGGTTGTCTTCTTGACATATATCCTGTGTTATAGCTACAAGCCATTGACGGAACCAATCCATTAATACTGTGAACCATTGGCGGCCAATCCAAGCTCATTGGCATCGGTTTGCATCCATTTTCAATCGGTGAATTCCTAACCTGATGCATCGTGTGCACAAAGCCCGACTGGTGGAAATGGTTTTGCCAGTTATGACCAACGTCTAGATGCAATCTATCGGTGGTGGCAGGGAGGTGTGAGTTCACAAATGATAATTGAGGGGCTGCACTTGGCCACTCGTATGGCGGGTTTCCTGAAGAGCTCACGGTTCTAGAATCTCGTTCTTTATTCGGCGGAAGATTCTTTTCCTTTTTAGTAACTTGGGTCACTTCTGAAACTAAAGATTGTGTCTCCATTTCCTTTACATTCTCACGACCGACAAAGTCAACATTTTGACCGTCAATGATCGTATCATTTTCAACATTAGAAGAATCAGTAACATCAGGATTTTCTTTTCCGTCATCTTGATTTCCTATAACTCTTTCCAGAAGGGGTTGATTTATGGTGGCAAGAGTGCTAGATTCTGTTGGATTATGATCATCAACGGAAGTGCCATTGAACATAATTTCTGATTTGTTTTCATCAGGTCTAAACTCACCATGAGAAATGGCTGAAGAACGGGATTTCACAGGAGCACTTTGAGAAACGATACTTTTGACTGTATCTTTCTTATGTTTCTTTTTCGCCCTTTTACTCTTCTTTGAGGTGCTTTGAACTGTTCCATTAACCATTCCGTCACCATGTTCCTGATAACAGTTAATGAGTTACAAACCATTCATCATCATAAAACATAGGATCCTTAATTTCACATACAAAGACAAGCACAACCATTTCAACCGCTGCGGATGGAGTCTCTTTTTTTATATCCTTTTCCAGAACTACACTGCCATGAACATCCAACTTATCTCCCTCATCCTGAAATATTCCGTTACAAGTCAGAAGACGGCTCACTCCTGGTATAAAAAACATAAAAACAAAGGGATAATCACAAAAAGTGGTCCACCTCGGATGGGACATTACACAAACTAGCCCAATTCATCAGGTTTGTTACAAAATGGCCCACCAGTTTGCAAACCATTTTGCAAAAGAGCCCACTTTTTCAACCTTTGACCGATTACTGAACGCTAGTTTGGAAGTGAGGGAAGATTTTGCGAAATCTCTTCATATTTCGTGAAATCATTCCAAAAACATATAAAAAGGGTATTAAACTTGAAACATGAAATATGAAATCACTTAGAAAACGCTTTAAATGGCTTTTTAGAAAAGGCTCTAATTCAGTAAACATGGAAATCAATACTTTTCTTAAGGTCGATTTTGTCTTCTGTAAAAATGGAAATCTAAATAAAGAAAATATGAGAAGGCTCTAGTCGACCTATAATATCTTGTGTTTTTACAGGCCATTTTTGCAATTATACAAAAATAAAGGGTTAGAAAGAATAAATTAGTACCAAAATAAGGCTAAAACACACATAAAAATAAAATAAGTGCACCTTGGCAGGCTTGTTTGAAGTTGAATTACTCTTAATAGATCGTTGAACAGGAATCGGTTTGTTTACATCACGTGCCTTCCCCTTCTTACCAGAAACAAGTTTCTGTTTTGGCTTCTTGACGGACTTGGTTGAACTTAGATCTTCAAGGAGCTCAAGTTTTGTGAAATCAAGTGAAACAACCATGAGCAAACCTCGCAATCTCCTTAATATGTGATCAAAAATCGTACTAATAGACCCCAATGAGCTAAAGAACAATGCTTCTTCATCAAATTGACCATGCTCAAATGCTAGTAACATAGTTGAAACCTCACAAACAATTAATAGACGATTAAAATAATGGGTTATCGGAGATGGTTTATTAGATGGAGGAATAAACAGAGTAAGCTCTGATTCTATATATTTTCCTCTAAGGGTCTCAATGGTTTCTTGGTGCCACCTAGGGTGACTGTATCTTGGGGGTTGTTTGTCTTTCCCGCTAGTGATCTGCAGCTCATCCTCCACGCCACTGCTTCTTCCATATAAAATATCATGAGTCTGAAAATTACAAACATTACATCATTCTTGGCTTCCTGCTATCTCAAAATGCCACATCAACCATGAAAAGAGATGCTACAAACGACATAAATTCATTCGAGAAATAAATAAAAGGTCAAAGTGTGCAATACCCCCTACCATGGACAACTTTGAAGCCTAGTTTATCACATAAGCACAAAATAATACATGGATCCAAATGTTAGGAGAACTATACTTGTAATACCTATTGTTTGGGTTCATTAAACAGCCATGGAAGCACTACACGTACAAGGTCCAAGACATGGTATCCTAGAAGTTTCCAGTGTTTATTAGCACTGTTTCATTTTGAAGCTTTAGTAATTACATCCAGAAAAGGGGCAATGAGTATTTTGTTATGATATTAATATATGTCCTTCTGCTAAGCCTAGAAAGTTTGATACCAGAAAAATAATATAAAACCAAAACAAACGAACCCAGAAGTCACCCAGAGGTGGGGCATGGAAGGGGTGGGATGTGGGCAGAGACTTCTACCTCAAGGAGTAGAGCGATACCCCCAGCTTGTGCAAAGTATGCATAAAGAAGGGTACAACATGCTCAAAAATTTACGGAGGAAGAACATAGATTAAAAACTTGATAGTACTAAAGGCAGTGATAAAAGTTGGAAAAGAGTTAGAAGTAAGCAACAACAATCAAAACATTCAGATAAAAGCAAGAACATAGAAACATAACCTAAGGAAGGAATAAACTACACACTCCTGGTCTAATGTATGACCAGAAAAATGATATGTGGCTAGAAAAATGCATATATTGATGTGTGTGGTTTTTTCAACAAGATCAAAAGGGGAAACTGTAATTTACTCAAAGATTAAGATAGGTAGCAAAGAAGCATAAGCATAAGAAGTAGTCAAATCCTTGAATTACTCTCAACTATCCTGAGTTCCCGACTTATGTAACAAATCAATCTTTACCACCCTGATGTATGTATTGAACCTAGATCAGAACATAAAGACTCTCAGTTGCACCCTAGTGTTCTTCATCAACCAGAACACACTACACAGTATCAGATGAGCAAAAGAAAACATAATGAAAAACAAACACAAGGTTTCTGTATATAAGTGTATTGAAGTGGTAAGCACTTTAGTGAAGTGGTAAGGGTGTGTCTGGTACAAAAGAAGATGGGAAAACTAAAAATTCTAGCAATCCCATATGAAACCAACTGAAACTTATGCATATAGAACAGCATTTAGCATCAACAACAGATTTTTTTTGGTCAGTTGCCTATCAGAATGAAGAGCACAACAGTTAATTACATAAAAGAGTTCACAGAAAAAAGTACCAGCAATCTTGCAGATTTTCCCAATACTATTCGAAAAGCTTTCTTCTTCTTTTGATCATCCAACTTCATCCACCATTCCACACACCCTTTCTTCCTCCAATACACATTTGCCGCCACACCCGCAGCTGCACAAACAGACTTCTCTTTCAATTTCATCCCTCTTTTCTTGCCAACATTCAAATGCAACCATGATAACCTCAACGCCAATTCTAACCTATTTGCTACAAAAGCCTCCAAACTATAATACCCTTTAGCCTTCAACCAATTGAATTCCACCCAATCCAATGATCCCAATAACACACTCTCCTCCCCTCTCAAAAATTCCCCATTCGAGACCCCATCCATAGCCTCAACAAACGTATCCACATTTTCAACTAGATTTCTACCAACAGTCATAGAATCTAAACAATTACAACAACAAGAACCAAAACTCTCACCTTCTTTCGAATCAAACAACTGTACAGAGTCGCGAATACGCTTTTCAGAATTTGAAAGCTGGCTAATTCTCGTCAACAGACCATGAGATTTTCGGAAACAGAAAGTGGGGAGATTAGGGTTGGATGAGGAAGATGGTATGTCAGGGAGGATGATGAAAGAACCATGGCCATTGTTGTTGAGTTTGAATTGCAACTGGATTAGAAGCTGGGTGAAGGATTTATCGATGATAGTGAGGTGGGATTGTCGCTGGTGAGGTGTGAGTGATGAAAACCATTTGAGAATGGAGGATCTAGGGTTAGGGTTAGGGTTAGGGTTTGATGAAGATGGTGAATGGGAACTGTAGAGAGAGATATGGGAGGTGAGGGAATCGATCAACTGACGTTTTGATTCCATTTTTGTGTAAGAAATGGATCGAGAAATTGAGGGAATTTGTGAAATTTGTACGAGAAATTAGGGGTTTTGTCTTCCAAACATTTTCAAATGTTTGGTAGAGGGGGAGGAATCACTTTGCAGCAGGGTTGACGACGAAAAAGGATTTCTCTTTTTTTTTTTTTTACATATTTTGCTTTTTGTAATTTTATTTATAATATTTTTACAATATAATATTAAAAGTCAATTTTTTTAAGAAAAAAATTATGACAGTGTTTGTGATTGCTTATAAAAATAACTTATTTACTTATTCCGTTGTGGCACTGGTAATAAGCATTTTTGAGTGTTTGAATAAACAGCTTATACCTATGTCAAACCGGTAATAAGAAGTTTTTAAAGAAGTTAAACATTATAACTTTTATATATATATATATATGTTATCTGTAACACCCCAAAGTGAATGAAATTAGTTTATAATTGGTCGGTGGTCAGCCATAAGTTTGGTAATTTGTTATTACAATGCTTAATGTTACGTGGTCTTAGTATTTCATGAATTCATTTGGCTTTGTTAAGCTAACACATATTGTGTATCTCAGGAAACGATCGGGTTAGGCTTTTATTGAATTTCATGATGATTTTTTTTTTAGTTTATTCCGTTTTTAGTATTATTGTTATTTATTTTCCGTAATACCTTCCAGGGTCTTGGGAGTGTGTTATATCTAATTGTTTTGTATTTTAAAATAGACATTTTTCAAACTATAAAAATCTTAAATATGAAGTGAATGACAACAATGTTACTGACCATGATCATTATTGTGGCATGTTGTGACTCAAGACTTGTGTTTCACATCACGTTAAGCATGTGTCATGACACACTGTAGCTCAAGACTCATGTCTCACGTCACGTTAAGCATGTGACACGTCATTGAGCGTTATAACTCAAGATTCATGTCTTAGGTCACTTTAAACATGTGGCACATCATGGCCTATTACATGGTTTTTGTAAAGTGATATTTGATTTTCTTTTTACCTATCTAGTGTCTTACTTTTTAGTTTTTTTACATTTAAGCTCATTTAACTGTTTATTATCATTGACTTAATGACTAACATACAAATTTATTGTCATAAGTCACACCTTAAAAAACGACGTAGCCTCATCGTGTCTCCTAAGGCTTGAGCTTGACATCACAACCACACTAATTTACACACCACTTAGAACCTTGACTAAAAGTATGTTATTTTTTTAATGTAATTTACCTCTCAACAAAATAAGATATTTTTCTTCCTTTTTTTGAGCTAAATTGTTTATTTTCTTATAAATAATCTAGTATTTATCTTATACTTTAAGAAAAATATCGGATAAATTACATGAAAAAGTAACGTACTTTAACTTGATTCTTATTTTAGGTAGCGCACATTCAAAACTTCCATTTTAGTATATAAGATGTGAAGTTTTAAACCACCCCCTGATTGGTTTGAACTTGACTCCAAAGATCAAAAATACCAGGAGGTCTCAGGTTCAAATCCAATGAGGAATAAAAATCCCCTTATGGCCACGAAAGTTCAAATGCGGTGACTCCGGGCTATCAGCAAAACAGGTGGTCGCCCTGAGATTAGTCGGCTCGCATAGCGGGTTGGATATCCAGGTTAATTAAAAAAAAGTACCGGATAACCGATTGAAGCATTAACCGGTTACCATGCTGATGTAGCGAGCGAAAAATACATTCAACTCCGGTAGCTTCTCCCTTTAATTTCAAAATTCAAAATTTTAAACACGTAATTTCAATGTTTCAATATAATTAAAAAATATTTATTTCTCATGGTAATCATTTTTAGGGATATATCAAATTTGAAGAATTTCATTCAAGAATCTGTTGGAGCAAAAAGAATTGCAAAAAATCTCCATTTTCTCTTAAAAAAAAGAAAAAAATGGCATATTTTGATGATAAAATGAATATATATAATCACACATACAAGTTACTATGGTGATTTTACAACAAACCACATTAATTTCAATAATTTTACAACAAAACCATGATGTAATCTTGACATATGGATATTACTACACCAATTCTATTTCTAACACCCATTATGATATGATTCATCACTATGAACCTGTTCTAGGATAAGCTGTACATCCTAAAGCATCAAACACAGGTTTCTTTCAATACGGCAAACATGGAAAGAATTCATCAAGAAAACCAACCTCAACAACTGGAATTGGTTTATAGAAGAGGGATGAAGATACGTTTACCGAAAGAGCCTCTGAACTGATCTTTTCGGTATCTTGCCTTCTAGTTTAAGCCTTCTGTATGCTTCTCGAATGTGGCATGGCCTGATCGGCCCAGTTTCCTTTCTCTCTATAATCACTACCTTCGCTGCAAAGTCATACATCAATTCATAAGATCATGGCATGCTTTTATTTTGGTATGCAGGACATGACAGTACAAAAACTTCTTGTGCTATGTTCGGCGTGATATTAGACTGGGGCAGGACATTACAAAAACTTCTTGTGCCATGTTTGGCGTGATATTAGACTGGGACAGGACAGTACAAAAACTTCTTGTCCCACGTTTGACGTGATATTAGACTGGGACAGGACAGGACCGCGACAAACGTTTTTTTTTTTGCTGTCCTGCAAAAATGGGTAGAACAAAAAGGGTTTTTTGGTTAAATGACTTTCTCGCAAGGGTTTTTTATCCATGAATTTATGACAGGTTTGATAATGTCACTTTCATACACAAGAATGCCTATAAACCTGTAAGAACTCATAAGGTCATGTATTTGAAAACCACTTGTCAAGAGGTCTTTTAGCTAGATAACCCAAACAAAAATCAAGGAGATAGGACAAGATCAGTAAATTACTAAACTACCTTAAAGCCTCCCATGATTCTTTCACCCGCCTACCTCACTCTCACCGTTCAGTCTAGTCTACTACCCCAAACGCACTCTAAGTAATTTGCCTGGATGTGTGTGTGTGAGACGATGTGCTACATACCTGTTTCAACGAGTTCACCAACAAAAATCTTTGCGATTCCAGATACCACAATAGTCATGGGCATAGAAATTTTGTTGCTTCCAGTGATGCTGCCTAATAACTGTATTCATGACACGATATAACAGAATAACGTTAATTACCAAATGCATGACCAGATTATTCTTACAGTAATTGTAAGTTGGAACTGGATAACGGTTCATAGAACTGTATTTTTTGTGTAGTTTCAGACCACTGTGAACACAAAAAAGCTATTAAAGTAACCAGATTTTATATTTAGACCATTTAACCTTCGGTATTTCCATTTAGGTTTATATGGTGTGAGGAGAAATATAGATTTGATCATGTTTCCTAACTCTACTCTGATATGTTGTCTGTTTGCTTGTACACACTCTCACCTACTTCTTACTCGCCTGTTTTGTTTATTTGTTCTGCAAGCCAAGGGTATTTACAGAAACTGTACCCCTTTGGGGTAGAGGTAAGCTCTACATACATCTTAACGGTTGCTTGGTTGGTTTTCCATTAATGTATATATAAAGCTGTTTGTGTGGATTAATCTGTCTATACAGGTTGGGAAGATTTTCGTTTAGGATGGTTTTTTCATAAATGGAATGAGCATGTTTTCTAATTGGGAAGGGCAGTTTGGATAAAACTTGGCTTTCTGCATGAAGCTCCCCCGTAGAAGCTTACTGAATAAGCCACTTTCTATATCATTAAGCCACTACCAAACAGTCATGTATAGTTGACTGAATAAGCTGTGAGACCCATTAAGCTCATTAAGCTGCTAACAAACAGGCCGTTACCCTCCCTAGACCCTATCTCTATGTGAATTTACTTGGTCCGTTTGATTTGATCTAATTTAGGTGAATGACTTAAATGAGTATGAGGGATTCAGATCCACGTGTGTTTGTGCATGTGGGCACGCGAGAGAGAGAGAGAGAGAGAGAGAGATAACGTACCCTTTTCATGACAGATTTCTGAAATCCAGATCTTCGGAAAGACTCATATCTACTCATTTGTCCCTCGGTAAATTGGGATAATATAGACCTGGAGAAAACATCAATCCGATGCTTAGTTTGCTGATCCAGCTACTATTTGACAGATCCAAATAGAAAACATAAAATTGTGCACGTTTTTATTGCGGACATTTATTTTGGACATCTGGAATAGCAAGAAAAGCAATATTAACATATCAAACCATACTGCATCTTGGCCATTTTGTCTGGATCGCTAGAAGACGGGACTTTTCCAAGTTCAACATCCATGTTCTCCTCTTCTTCCTCGTCATAATCTTCTTTGTTCTTAACGGTTTTGGCAGCGGCTGCTGAAGTGGAGGCTGATGCAATTGTTGCTTTTTGTGGGTTTGAAGGACGAATACTGTTGGTGTCCACGTCAGCTCCCTGGGAACTAACAGTGGGTTGTGCAGATGGAGGTTGAGTTTCGGTCTCATCATGACCAACGGGAGAATCAGGCGGTGATTCCTCTTGTTCATCGGCTGCTACTTCAAAAGGATCCTTGGATTGCTTCATGGTATTTTCTTTCTCTATGTTGCTAACTAGTATGCACTAATGTGCTTTCGTCAGATTCTGGGAAGAAATAGATGTAAGAAATTAAGTAAACCAAACAAAACCAATATATCCCACCCAGAGATAGGGTCTTTTTTTTGGTTTTGGGGGGGGGGGGGGGGGGGAGGGGAGAAGATGTAAGCAGACCTTACCTAGAGAGTTGTTTCCAACCCCTCCCCCTCTCCCTCCCCAACACCCGGCTTGTAAGAAAGGTTTAGTAAAAGATATGGAAAGCATAACTATAAGCCACAAATATGGAAAGAAAAATTTCTAAGACAAAATTAGAACAGAAAGCCAAGAATCTACTTAGCTAAAAAGCACAGATGTAAGAACTTGTGTGACAAACACATTAATAATTTCACAAAATCATCATGTCATCTATAAAAGGTCTGAATAATACTCCACTTCCAACAAAAGGAGGAAGCAAGAAGAGTTTTGAGTTAGTTCCAATAACTTGATTATAATTAGCTCAAACAAAGAGGCAATTGCTTTTCATCAATCATCACTCCTACCATTCCATAAAGATAGAGCTACATTATAATCTTTGAATTCGAACTTATGAGGCTATGACCAAAAAGCTTACATTTTTCCGAAGTATAAAATTGACACAAAATATGGACACAAATTGCACCACAAACCTTTTCTACTTGTTAGCACTTGTTCTAAATTTTAATGAACTACCAGTTTTTTATCTTTAAAGTTTTAGAAGTCATATTAAAACGACAACAGAAAATGAGACCATTTGACAAAACCAAAGTGTATGTAGGATATCAATCTAGGGATATGTTTAGTTGTATCATATTGTATAACATATTCTTAGGAGATAGTATATCTCATTTGGAAGTAAAGTCTAGGGAAACTGAAAAGAAGCATATCAAGGATATGTATAAGATATTATGTGATGTGTATATATATACACGTATTCAGTCAAATGTAAACGAAAAGAAGCACTTTTCACATATTTCATATAATTTCATGGTATCAAAGCTGTAGATGTAGGAACCCTACATTTCCTCTCTCAAACCCCGGCCCTTAGTATTAACAAAACTACCTACAGGAAGGAAGAAGACAGTGGGTTGCAAATAGATTTCTCAATCAATTAGAAAGGTAGCCGGAGATAAATACAAAGCTCGACTAGTGGCAAAACATAGAGTTGATTATCAGAAAACCTTTATTTTCCTCTCAACACAATTTGTGTCTTGTTGTCTATTGCAGTTAACCAGGATTAGCCACTATTCCAACTTGATGTCAAGAACTTTTTTTAAATGGAAATCTAATCAAGGAAGTCTATATGGATATACCTTTTGGATTTGAGATGAAGGATAACCAAGGGAAGCGTTTTTAGTCATTTTATTGGCAACCGTGAGTAAACGTTTTTGAGACTAAGGAACTCCATGTGAATGATTTGCAGTAAGTGTTTTTAGTCATTTTAACCCGCGAGTAAATCACTTAAAGGCAGTAACCCGCATGGTCTGCATCTTAAGATACTAGGAGAAAAACCTAGGAAGGATTTATGTTTAGAAAACCGGTCCATTAGACATTGGAAGTTTATGCTGATGTTGATTGGGTTGGATCTCCTTGTGACCCAAAATCCACATCTAGATGACCTAGCATAGCAAAAAAACAAAGAGTAATATATAGTAGCAGTGTCGAGGCTGAGTTTCATGCATTAGCCTTGGACATCTGTGAAGCAATTTGGATATTACGACTGCTAAACGAACTTAAGATTGGAACTTTGAATTCTATCATGATCATATGTGGGTAACCTGTAAACGGTCACAATTGCCAAAAATCTTGTCCATCATGATCAAATTAGGCATGTGGAGAATGACAGGCACTTCATCATTGAGAAAATTGAAAGCAAGAAAAACTCACTCGACTACGTTCAATCTAGGCAACAAGCAGCAGCCATCTTGGCTAAGGTTATGTTTCAGCCCAATCTCAATGAACTAAGTACCATACTTGGTTTGGAGAACTTATATCACCTGGCTTGTGGGGAAGGTAAGAAATCAATCCAAGTGTATGGTTAGTTGTATCAAGCTTTATAGTTGACTCTTAGGAGATAAGTTACCTAAAATACTAATCCAATATATTAGGAAAGATTTTTATTATATTAGATCCTGATTTATAGGAGTCGGCCATTTGTATAACATATTGTGTATATATTTCTACTCGGACAAACATAAATGAAAAGAAGCAGTTTTCACATATTTCATATAGCATTGGTGTATAGTTTTCTTAAGATGGAAGGATGATAAAGCTATGATGCTCTCCTATAAAAGCGACCTCTAGAAACTACAAGTCTACAACGGTATCTAAATCCAAATGCCTTATAGTCCTCTAAGTGTTTTCGCCCTATGTGCTTTGCATGGAAGGGATACAACTTGACGGAATTCACCACATTGCCTAGCTCACAAAAAATACCAAAGCCACCATCTCATGCCAAATGTAACCCGAGATGTTCTCTTCTCACCCACCCCGCAACCACCTCAGCTTTTGTTTTAAAGACAGTTCTAACATGAATCAGATGTCAATGGAGCAACACAAATACGCTAACGAACGAATGTCGTGTGTCACATAAATAACTATTAAACTTGCAACTATAGACGAATTTTCCATCTCTCTTGCTCACACATGTTCTCTGTTCCTGTTAAGAAAGATGGGGATTTGGTCTTGATTTGCTGATAAATTTAAAATTTATCAACTGATCAAAGAATCAACAAAAACCTATTTCTAAAGCAAGAAGTACATTAAGCCCTACAAAAACCTGTTTCTTAACTTGAAGAATCCGAAATAGTTAAGAGCAGTTGAAATGCCCACCTTCAGTTCAAGTAATTGTGTTTATTGAAGCGACACTTGAATTTAAACTTTAATAAACTAAATTTAACTTCGAAGATGTTTGCGAAAAACAACAATCAGGTTGCAATTATTAGGGCTCAATCGAATTCTAAACCAGAAAGCAATTAATACTAGGTGGCTACAGTTGGCAACAATCTGTTAAAAAAGAATTCCATTATTGCAGACAGCAGATGCATTTAGGACTCAGCAACTGTTAATTGGGATAAAACATCTCGTTTTTAAGGGTTTTTCAATCGCAGCTTCGAAATAGAGTGTAAATCAAAATCAAAATCAAAAGAATACTCAACAGAAAAAAAATCAAAGTAATCCCATGTACATGTTCCTCATTCCCAAATAACTACCAAGACATTTCCCACAAAATTACAACAAAAAGAAGAGCTAAAAATTAGGGTTTTACATATGAATTAGGTCTAGTTACAACTATGCAAATCCAACATAGACAGTAATATTCGAATCACACATGTAAAGATTCAAGAAAAACAATTTACCTGACTATCGTTTTTGATGTAAATCACCGTACTGAAACTATCGAACAGCATAGGAACCAAAGCCGAACTCTATGCTTGGGAGTGAAATGGAGATGCATGTCTTTAGTTGTTTTCTTTCTTTTTACAATTTACAAAAATAGTCCCTCAAGTATTTAAATATCTTCCTAAGATCAATTATTTCTACCATTTAGACTAGGCGTGAGCATAGACGGGTACCCGTCCTTTTTGATAGAAACCGGAATTGGAACCGGCAGTTCTTGGAATATTGGAACCGGAATCAGTACCGATTAGAGCGGTTCTTAAATTTTTGGAACCGGAACCGCTGGAAACCGGTTCCGGTTCCGGGTACCCGCTTCCTAAAATATTAAAATTTTGTTATTTAGAAATAAAAAATATAACGTTGCCAAAACACTAAATAAATAAGCAAAAATATAAATTATACAGAATAATGGTTACAAATATTGTTTAACGATTACAAACCATAATAGACTAATAGAAAATGTTCAAAGTTTAACGATTACATACTATAATGATAAATGTTCAAAGTTTAACGATTACATACTATTATGGTAAATTTTCAAAGTTTAACGATTACATATTATGAATCCAAGTGAACACACAATTTGAAAAAATACGAATCATTCTATATGAAGAATTTAGATGAAGAATGAAGATGACGACGTGCTTTTAAGATGTAAACCTAATATAATTTTGGTATTAAAAAATAATAATTATTTTTTATTGAAAAATACAGGGTACCCGGCGAGTAACGGTTCCGAAAAATTGAGAACCGGAACCATTCTCAATCGGTTCCGTATTTTAGGAATCGGAACCACTCATATCGGTTCCAGTTCCGGAACCGGCAGTTCCAAGGCGATTCCGGTTCCATAGCCGGGTACTCGGTTCCGCTGCTCACCCCTAATTTAGACTATTATAATACATGAATTTGTAAATATATGAACAACCTTAGCTCGTCAATTGTAATTTCATAACTTTTCGACTTATGTAAGGTTAATGGCCTTTGGTCATCGTTATGACCTGCTTCACAGGCAACGCTTGATATTGTTATATGTTTGTCATGACTGTAAAGATGATTTCATATCCACAGCTATTTTTTACAGGAGTTCGCCATTAAATCTTTGATGGGTCCGTCACTAAACGTTCAAGTTATCGTGAAGTCCATCAGAACTTCAACTGTCATCAGTTGGTCAGTACCATAGTCATAATGGCTCCATTGACATAGCTTGAACCTACCATGATCGATGGACCACCTTAGTTCCTTTGGCTCCGTTGTGAGAGCTTGAACCTACCATGAGCCCACCACCTTAATCACTATGGCTTTGTTGTTGAAGCTTTAAGTTGCCATGAACCCACGACCATGTATATTGCTATAACGGTTACATCAGTAAAACTTCAATTTGTCATGAGTCTATTAATGTTCTTTGTATAATTAATGCATCTTGTACTTAATCATGCCCTAAAAATGCACTTCATTTAATTAATGTGTATATATATATATAGGATGATTATTATACAACCCTTGACATTTGTGCAACCACTACAACCCAATCTCAACCGTTCATTTGATTTGATTAATATGTGATTTTATAGAAATTTTGATTATTTCATAATATAAAGTATTGATCATAATTAATGAACCATATTTATTTTCTATAAATATTCAAATCATAATAAATGAACTCTCATCATTTTCATAAATATCTCAATTTATTTGGTTGCAATTGGTTGTACAAATGTGATGGGTTGTATTTGAAACAAACTATATATATATATATATATATATATATAGGGGCTGGTTCAAATACTAACCCAATATTCTGTGCAAACTATGCTAACACATCTTAATCGTTCATTTTCTCATCTAACGGTTATTATTAAATGAGATTAAATAAACAATAATTTAATTAATATATTAATTAATATGTGTATGAACAATTGTTCAAAGGATAAATTGGT